TATCCCCCTACGGGACTTGTATTATCATTATATACACTCACATTAATTTTAATCAATTGATAGAAAACAATGTTATAAACAGTGCAAATATAAACTAATAATTCGTCTATCCACTTTTATTGTATTTTCAGATATCATTTCCCCCTTTTTAGCTCCAACAATGAGAATCCTAATAGCCACGCAACACCCACGCAAATACCGTGGCTCCTGGATCGCCAGGGTTACTATAACTGCGGAATAGCTCAGATCCGAATCTCCCAACACCAAAGTCGATCATGTCTTCGTTGTCAGAAGTGTCACCCTCGACAACATCCAAATCCGAGCTGTTCCCTAATAGTTTCGCCCTTGATTTTGGAAGGTTCCCTTGTCTGTTTTCGTCATTTTCGTTGATCCCACCTGGCTGAACCTGTAAAGAAGATCGAAAATTATCAAGCCAATCCAAAACATTCAATAAGCAAAAGGATGGATATAAGATTGAACCTGGTGATTGCTTTGAATACTCGTAGAAAGCCTGAGGCGGTTGTCGATGACGTCGACATCATCCAGACGGTTTCGGCGACGAGGAGGGGAGAGCTCTTCATCGGTTTCAAAATTCAGCATTTTTCCGCGATGCCGGACATTTCTCTCACTGTAATTCATCTTCAATAAAAGTTTTCTCCATCTCTCTTTCATGTTCTTGAGGGCTGTCGACATAGCATCGTCAAAACTCGTATGAGAAGGTGGCTGATAGTTTCTGCTATTATTCATGGCCTCTGCAATGGATTGAAAGAGTAGATAGAATGGTATGTGGAGTAGATGAAACGGTTGAAGTAATATATCTAGTTTCCTTACCTCGCCACGCGTGGGCAAATCGGCGACTGTCAAGAGAATATTGAGTCTCGGTTCCCTGCCATGCGATAGAAGGAGAAATCTCCTTATCCTCTGCGAAAGAATGTTTAAAGTAATATCCTGCAGAATCTCTTGGGTTTAGACCCTCTAGATGATAAAAATATGAATATAATGAAAGAATAAAAATGAGACCATTGAACAAGAAATGCTTACAACACTGTCGTAGATATCTCCATCAGCTTTCTCAAAATTTTTTAGATCCTGTATATGTCTGAAGGGAAAACAGGCAGGTTTTTCTTTCTTTCCTCCAGATCCGCGTCTCTTCAGAAATTTTTCTAGGAGCTGATGTGTACAACTGCAAAAATATAATTCAGTCAAAAATAGATTATTACTCATTTGTACAGATTCCTTCATTTCATTATTACAGCATATTGGGACTCTTGGGAAAGCTCGAAGTACTAACTCATGTTTAGTTTCATTCAGTTTCATCTGGGCACTGAGGTCTCTAAAATGAAAGTATAAAAAGTTACATGAAATGCGGGAAAAATTTCTCTACATTCAATCGTAGGATGACTGCAAAGAATACCTACTGCTGTTGTTTTTCTAGGCGATCCATTTGTATACTGAGGTATCTGAAAACAAAATAAAAATGAAAAAACGACGTGTGAATGATTCGTCGAACTAAATCAATTTCTATTCCTTGACAAAAAATTAAATTACCTCACAGCATTTAACAGCTCTTTAAGACCTCCAGAAGCTTGTTGACCAATAACATTCTGTGTTGATGATATATTACGGGTAAACTCTACCTGAGATGGCGGTGTTTTGCGAGGGAGCGACGTTTGCGAAACATGTCGAGTTTTCGGAGGTGTGGAGTAATTGGTGTTTTTTATTCCAAGCGATTTGATCGGCAAGTCTTGTGGAAGCCGTTGAGTGGAACGAAAAAATGTTCTGTCCCTTTCACATCGTACATTACCAAAGAGTGGACTTGGGCGAGAAATTCTCTACAAAATCGTGTTTTTCCGGATTTTTCGTTGATTGCATCGTTCGATCTTGTGGTGAAATACCACCAGCTGCTGCTTCGAAATTGAATGATGGAGTTTGGGAACTGATCCTGCTTGGGGGGGGAACACCTGAACTAGTTGGGGTGGAGCACTTCCTGCTGCTGCTACTTTTCTTGCTTCAACTGCAAATTCTGTGGTTTTCGGATGAATGCTGAATGGAGTTGAGCATCTGGAGTCGTAGCTAGCTGTAGCCGATTTCTTTTATCAGCTATATCCCTTTCCAGTCCCTTGGCGACTTCATTTAAAGATGGCTTCGTTCCGCCTCCTCTCCCCTTCATCCCTCCTCGGCTATGTATCTTGAAAGAGAATCATGTACATATGTTGTTCAATTAGGAATTCCCAGATAAAAATGAAACGACAACAAAAACATCGGGAACTGGGGAGTCCAAATTAGGGACATGGTCAGCCAGCCAATATGGCATGCGGAAACATTTCCTGTAGATATCGTCCAGCTCGATCAATAATAAATTATCCGATAATGATGAACAACGATAAATTCCAACAGAGGACGAATGAATACTACCAGTTTCAGTGAGGGGCTCCACTCTAGAAAAGGCATTGACAACGAACATGTAATGATTGTTTCCGATGCTGAGAATGTTGGGGATGACGCAAATTGATGAGTTTCGTAGAATAATAGTATTATCTCTGTCCTTCGTAGAGAGGGTGAAATCAGGAGTTTTGTAGACAGAAAATTGGATCGTATAAGAAGGACATTCTGGGATCAAGGGTCCTATTCGATGTCTACCTGAAGTTGCAATGGAAACCTTCGCCTGTCGTTTAGCTCCATTACGATGATTTTATTCAATTCGCCCATTAACAATTTGTTGTAATTCCTGATGTGGCTTCCTGCAAGATTTCGGGAAGTAGTTCATATTATTCTCGTACGGAAAAGCTGAAAAGTTATCTAAGGGGCCAAAGTGTTTGACATCTTCGACAAGATGTTGAAGAGGATGCACAATATATGTAAGAAATTCTGCGTCGTAGATATTTTCTGCTTGATTAACGAAGATTTCTATCGTTGACTCTGAAATTGACAAACCCAAATCTGATGTCACCGAATCGCTGAGATAACGAATGGCGGTATTTAAGAGCATGAAATGAGAGTAAACTGTTGGATGAACTAACCCCGAGAAAACTGCAGGACCACTGTAACAAAGAACTTGACTATGCTCGGTAGCCTTGTAGTTTCTCGGTTTTCTCATCGAAGATGGTCGTCGTGAAAATTCTCTAGGACAAAATGATTTCACAAGCTCTAGACGAGCGCAGAGCAATTTTACATTACGAGGTGTCAGTTTGACGAGAGGGGAATATTTACCCATAAGCCCATGTTCGATTTTTTGCATCACGCCCAGGAGGACGGTATGCATGTACTCGAACGGTACTTGAAATGCTATCTGCATAGGAAGGCGGGCGAGAGCACACTGACTCTCCTTATGATGTTCTCCATCAAGACACTGAGCATATTCCTCAACAGTTCTAGGCCTGTGGTGCACTCCTCGTAAAACAACTATCCCAGGACGTAAACTTTTCCCAACAACCCAACACCTCGAACAAAGTACTAGAGAGCCGTGGCCATAATGATTCAATATCAATGCACGGACGGGTGAATCACCAATAAAACATCGCAGTTCAATGCTCCTAAACGTTCCAGCGAACTCTATCTCACCATTATCGATAATTGAAAGAACCTCATCAATGAATTGTTTAAGGAAAGCTGCACCGTCAGTAGGTTTTAAAGACCCGCGTCAAATGCCCACTATCTCCGGTTTACTTCGAGGGATATTCGCGATTCTAATTTGAATTAGCCAAATCCGAACATTACCAGCTCTGTCTAAACTCGCACTGTCAGGGCTGAAATCTAACAAGAGTTTGTCGGGTAATCGTGACCCTGAATTTTCCTGGAGAATGGAAATGAGACCTGACTGCAGTTAGAATTGCATTCGCCTGGACGTGAGATACATTGGTGGTGACGAAAGCATCTGCAAGTTTACAGTGCATATTCTCTACAGTATCAACACATTGTTGAAATGAAGCGTTCACACTTTCTTGGTCATTGTCTGAATGTCCCTCGTCCGTATCACTAAAATCTTCGGAAAGCTCACAGATATCATCACCGTTGGGACTCGCATCCGGTTCTACAATATCACTCCAGCAATTTTCACGCGGAACATCAGCCGCTGAAATAGCAGATGCTGAATATATTATTGACTGAGTGTTGTCATTGTTTGAACCGTCTGAGTAATTTGAATTCGGTTCAGGGATTTTGTTGATGTTCATTCGACCATTGAGAATAACTCTAAGACGAGCACGTTGACGACAAGACACCTCATGTATTATTTTTCTACATCGAATTCGTCTCGAAAATTCCGTTCTTCACAATAATTCCAGAAATATTGAGATCTTTAATATAATTTATGAGAATTTGCATGCACTTCAGGATCATACTTGTACAGCTCCTGCGAGAGAATTCATGTCAAATATTACTATGAATTATTTCCAAACAAACACAGTAAGACAAGTTCCTGTTTGTTATTAAGGGGAGACTAATGACGTTTTTCTTGCGCTGGCTGACCTTTGGTTTTGCGCCCCGTATTTTTTGATTTTGCGGAGTCGGTAAAACAAGTAACAACAAACAATAAAGTCGTCACTTATTTTACCGACTAAACAAAATCAAAGAACCCCGGAGCGCAAAACTAAAGGTGAGCCAGTGTAAGAAAAACGCCATAATATGAGTTTTAAAAGTCGCGGGCTATTGGAGTACGATTTCTCATACCCTGGAGATCAAAGAACGACGGTACAATGATGGTATAGCGTCGTTGTTGCGCCGTTGATTTTTATCAGAGATTATAGGCGAGATGAACAGGGCCAATGTAAAGTGTTCAACAACAAAAATCGTAGCGGTGGCGCATGGACTACGATGGAGCGTACGGAACTGTTGGTATGATAGGGCCCGAGCATAAATTTGTCGATAACCGGAAAGGGGTTCTCAATACGGTAGCTCCTCGCATTTTGTAATAATTGTCAGGAATGTAAAATCGAACATATTATAATCAATAGTATAATGAATGCACAATCTAATGATCTAAAAGTCTTTTCCTTTTTCTCGACATATTTATCATTGACACGTAGGTCAAAAAATTCATAGAAAATCCCAGCGCTGTCGCTGGAAAACTCTATAGTTTTCCAGTGATTCTATTGAATAATTGGGCAGATTTTGTTTTTTTTTTACTATAGTAATGTTCGATTATATATATTTATTCCCCCCCCCCCTGAGTGAGAAAGGAATATGTATCGCGCTCGCTCCCACTCATTGTCGTCTCTGTCGCGCTGTGACGTGCCCGTCCTCCACCAAAATTAACGAGTGCGAGTGAGAAAGAAAATGGA